CAATCAAAGAAATTCAGTTTGTTGCGATTAATGTAGTCAAATTTTCGTCGGACATTTTTGATTAAAAAATAAAAAAACGAACGATATATATATATAAATATAAATACTATTCTTTCAATATAATAATATATCGTGAGCAAGTGTAAGTGAACAGTAATAAGTAAATAACAATAACTAACCTACAATCTATATCTATATGTCAATAGCGCATAGATCAAAGTTTAAATATTCATCACAATTTAAAGCATCAAGAGCTATAACAGCATGTGCAGAACCTACTTTACAATCAGTAAGTCAAACTATTGAAACATGTCCACCAAAAAATATACCATTATCACAAGAAGAGGCAGAGATATTAGCGCAGCTTGATCCATCTCAATTCAGTGTTGTAACTCCAGTTAACAAATTGGCTTTTGATTATTTAACACAAAAACATCCAAATCGGGCATTCATCCAATATTTAAGAAATGGTCTAGAACACGGCTTTAGATTTAATTTTTCAGGCAAACGAGTAACAAAGATTCAAGAGAACTTAAAGTCTATAGATATTGAGCCTTCAGCATTAACAAATTATATAAATAGTGAAATAGCTATAGGAAGGATGTGCGGGCCTTTTTCTATAAATAACCCACCATGTTCGATATTTCAGGTCAATCCTTGTGGATTGGTAGAAAAGAAAAATACCAATCCTAAAGTATACCGGGTAATATCACATCTTTCATCCCCACTTGGCACAAGTATAAATGATGGTATCGATCGCATTGAGTTTGCAACGAAGTATGAGAACCTAAACCATGCTATTGGGTGGATAACAAAATATGGCCGTGGTTGTTTGTTATCAAAAATCGACATTCAAGATGCATACCGCATTTTACCAGTACACCCAGTAGATCAAGTATTGCAAGGACTACAGAATGAAGGCAATCTATATTTTGATAAAGCTCTTGCTTTTGGAAATCGGGCTTCAGGAGGAATATTTTGCCGCTTTGCGGATATTATTACGTGGATTGCAGTGCAACAAGGAATAAAATCAGTAATACATTATGTGGATGACTTCTTAATAATATCCAAGTCAGGTGCACAACAAGACTTAGAGCAATTTCTTCGTATACTAAAAATATTAAATATTCCATATAAGAAGTCTAAACTAGAAGGCCCCTGTACCACTCTAACATTTTTAGGGATCCGCATCGATACTAATGCATTTTCAGCAGCCATTCCAGAGGCAAAAAAGCTAAAGATTATGGAAATGCTAACAGAATGGCAGGCCAAAACATGGTGTTATAAAAAAGAATTACAATCATTAGTCGGCTCACTAATGTGGCTTTGTCAAACCATGCCCCAAGGCAGACCTTTTGTCCAACGCTTTATAAAGGCACTAGGTGGTAACAAAAATTCTAAGTTCCATATAAGAATTAATAGTCCCATGAAGGCAGATATAGCTTGGTGGCAGAAAATTCTTCCAATATGGTCGGGTATGTACTTCATGGAAGACAGAATATGGCTGCACCCCAACACACAAAATTTGTACACCGATGCGTCTAATTTAGGTGGTGGTGCAACTTACGATATTTACTTTACGGCCTTTAACTGGTCCCAAGCGGTAGATATAACGAAACATAGCATTCAGATGCGTGAATTATTAACATGCTTGATAGCAATGATGACCTTCGCACCATTATGGCTAAGGAAACGTTTAATCATTTGGACAGATAATCAAGCAAACGCAGAGGCATTTTATTCTGGCTTCTGCCGTAACTCAATTATTAACAAAATAATAGCAAGCATGTACATGGCACAGATTCGCGGTAATTACTCAGTAAAATTAGAACATATAGCCGGGAAAAATAACAAAGACGCAGATCTGTTATCACGAAATGGGCACAAACAATTCAGGATGCAGAACCCCTTGGCACGATACTTAAATCCTGTAATTCCAGATGAGTATACTAACCTGATAACAACATTCAATTTATAGGAATAAGTGACAACGGGGCCCCTAGAAATTTAAACCAAATGTCACAGCAAAAGCAAACATATATGAACAATAAATTTACGGATTCACCACCTTTGAATGTACAAGCAGCAGCAATCTTAGGAATAAACTCATCAAAATACAGTACATACACTACCATTATCAAACGCTATGAGAAGTTGGCTAAAGGAAACGATTGGGTGAATGAAGACAAGACCATTTGGCCTATATCAAAAGAAAATCTCTCTAAATTCATATCATACTTACATCCAAAAGTTGCACCTCCAACCATAATATCGTACCTATCCGCGTTAAACCATCATCATAACATGAATCACACAGACTGGAGTCAGATTCGTTATGATCCGTTAATAAAGCAATTGCTAAAAACAATTGAAGATAACCACACGTTCAAACCAACAAAGCAAAAAGAGCACATTACACGTGATCAACTGCGATACATAATAACAAAATTAAATCTAAACGATCCGGATAACTTGTTGTTTTGGACAACGGCACTAGTGGCATTTTACGGCCTGGCCAGACTGGGGGAACTCCTACCCAAGTCACAACAAGACATAACAAAAATACCCACGTTACAGGCTTTGAAATTTGAGAAATCAGATACTAATACATTCGCAACAATTCAGTTACCTAGAACAAAGAATCACAAAATCGTGGAACGTCCAATACTAATTATCAACCAAACTAAAGACGACTTATGCCCAATTCACATACTAAAAGCATACATTGTTCGCAGGACCAACACGACATATGCCCCAAGGAGTAAGGCATTATTCATTAAGGCCAATGGAAACTTAGCGACGAAAGCTTGGTTTATAAACAACCTCAAGTCTCTGTTACCCGGCGCAAATGTGGCAGGTCACAGCTTTCGTGCCGGAGGTACAACAGAATTGGTGCTGCGGGGCGTGCAGCTACCATTAATTCAAAGGATAGGCAGATGGTCATCTGACGCGTTCTACAAGTACATCCGAACACACCATGCAACGGTGGCCGCCATTCTAAGTAAAGCTTATTCTGACTAACGATCGTCATATACAAGTTTGGAACCCGATCGTCATCAGAAAAAATAAATAAATAAATAAATAAAAAAGGAAATATATATATATCTTTATGATTATTATTCTTATTATGATTATTATTAACGATGGGAACAAAGGGCAGCAAATTCAACCAATATGTCAAATAAATCTTAGGCCAGACGCATAACAAGGCCAGTTAACAGATGAAGGAACAAAGAATTATATATATCCTGCAATGTGCAATAAGAATGATAACGATAATAAAAGAAAATAAAAGAAACGCCTACATGAAAAGGTACACTCCCACAAAATGACAGAATCCTTGTAATATTTGGAACTCATGGAATCCTGCCATTTTGTGGCAACTTAAAATTTCGTATTAAAATTCATATTAAAGCCGGCCTGCTTCGTGCAGTGTGGGAGACCACCGGCTGATGCCCCGCATCGCGAATTCAGCTGATGACGGTGATACCCGGCGCAATTATAGTTGCTATTTCTGGGAGTATATCCCGTCTCAG